AATCTTGATTCCACCTTCTGTTTCATCCAGCCCAGAATTTCTCACGACATACTCTGCATATAAGTTAAATAAGCAGGGTGACAATATACAGCCTTGACATACTCCTTTTCCTATTTGGAGCCAGTCTGTTGTTCCATGTCCAGTTCTAAATGTTACTTCCTGGCCTGCATACAGATTTCTCAGGAGACAGGTAAGGTGGTCTGGTATTCCTATCTCTTGAAGAATTTTCCAGTTTTTTGTGATCCACACAGTCAAAGTCTTTGGCATAGTCAATAAAGCAGAAATACATACTTTTCTGGAACTCTCTTGCTTTTTCAATGATCCAGGGGTTATTGGCAATTAGATCTCTGGTTCCTCTGCCTTTTATAAATCCAGCTTGAACATCTGGAAGTTCACATTTCATGTACTGTTGAAGCCTGGCTCGGAGAATTTTGAGCATTACTTCGCTAGTGTGTGAGGTGAGTGCAATTGTGTGGTAGTTTGAGCATTCTTTGGCATTGCCTTTCTTTGGGATTGGAATGAAAACTGACCCTTTCCAGTTCCTCATATGTGAAATTAATTTTCAAAAATAATTTAATCTTTTCATATTCTATCTTATCTTCAAATGGAAAAACTTTTCTTCCAATTTTTGCTATTAAAATAGAGCTGGGGTGAATATGTTTTACAGATTCCCCCCCCCTCCGCCCTTTCTGGGCATTTCATTGGTATGGGTGAGAAATTACTAGATTAAAAATAGTATTAAAAAAAGAGGGTAAAAAAATAAATTTTTCTAGACAAAGAAACTGAGGGTCATAGAGGAAAAGCAGCTCATTCAGATAACAAGAGGTTGAGTGGGATTTAAACCCAGGTGCGTCTGACTGCGAAGCCAACAGAACAGCAATCCTAGGGGTTGGATGAGGCTAAAACAGATCAGTCCCAGTCAGGAGGGCTTCCCTGGCAGCTCAGATGGCAAAGAATCTGTCTGCAGTAGGGGAGACCCGGGCTCAGTCCCTGAGTTGGGAAGATCTCCCAGAGAAGGCAAGGGCAACCCACTCCAGTATTCCTGCCTGGAAAATTCCATGGACAGAGGAGCTTGGCAGGACCCAGTACGTGGGCTCTCAAAGAGTCGGACACGACTGATGGACTAACACACAAACACACATATACCAGCCAAGAAGTAGAGCTTTCTGTTCCCAGAACAAATGAGGGTCATGCTCAGGGCATTTTGATTGAATCTGAACCAAAGAAGACTGGTCCTTCCTCCAGGAAGCCCAGAACTGACCACATGGGGGTCAGCCTGTAGATGGCTGATTCACACTCAGAAGATGCCCCAGGTTATCTAGTGTAGCCCGTTACCTCTGTCAGATGCTCAGGCACCTGGGGAGGCAGCCTGGTGGGAAAGAGAGCCCGTGGGACAGAGATCAGCGTGTGGGAGCTCTGCTCAGCTGTGCTGCAGACCCTCTGTAGGACGCTGGATTTCTCATGTCCTCTCTTCAGACTTCACTGCCCACCTGTCACAAGACGGCACTGGCCCCTCAGTGGAGGGGACTGGGAAGTGCCAGGAAGCTCCTGGGCACACTGGCCAGGCCCTCCCCATGCGTTCTCCAGCTCCCACCCCTGCTCCCAGCTCAGAGGTGCTGCTGTAATCAGGTGCAGACAATCAGCTACCCAGGATGTGGTTTCCCAGGGAGCCCAAGAGGAGGGCATCCTGCAAGCTGGAGGAGAGGGCACTGAACAGCCCCTTTTCTCTGCTCCTGATCACTTTCATGCCTTTGCTCCTCTTACTGCACCAGGAGCAGAGCTGTGTCTGTCTCTCCACAGTGATCAGATTCACAAGCAAGAAATTGGAACGTAGCAACCTCACAGGTCAAGGAGGAGAGGCCAGAGGAAGACGTAAGGGAAGCACCAAGGTACATCAGACAGGCCAACCCAGGAGCCTAGAGAGGAAGACTCAGCCTCTTGGCCCTTTCTTGGTCTTTCTTCCTGGAGCAGCAGATGGCCACAAAGGGCAAATGAGGAGCGGAGGCCAGTTTTCAGGAGGCACCATGGAGGAGGGCAGCGAGGACTATGGGCCTGTGGGAAGGTGGCCAGTACAGATTGTAGACTGTGGGAAGATGTGGGCAACAGTGCCCTGGGCAGAGGAGAAGCCCCAGGGGATGGAGAAGATGTCCGCGGCCTCAGAGGATGGGGGCTTTGCCTCTTTGGGAGACAGCCTAGGCGTGGCTACCCTAGATGAGAACGTGAGACATGGTCCAAGCCAGCACTGCAGGACCATCTGCCATCACCCCATCCCACCAGCTTACTAGGAGCTATCCTCATAACCCCCCTCCTGGGCCCCCCGGGCAGTGAAGTACGTGACCCATTCATCCTGCCCCCACAGCCAAGCAACAGTTCAAGAAGGATGTATCACTCAGAAAGAGAAACCAGCCAGTTTCTGGCTCTGCAAGAGAAAGAGCCAGGGCCTCCTTGAGCTGGGTTCAGGGCCTCTGCATGTGTCATGGGATATGAGCTCATCCCCACGACAGTGGGCGGGGGCTAGACAGTTACCCGGCCTCTTGGTGTGGACCCTGGGGCCCCGTGGGATCGCTCACGCAGACACCAAGAGAATCTCCTCCATGCACATGCCTGTCTCTGCCCCAGATGGGGCAATCTGAGGGCAGAGCATGGGGCCTCTAAGCCCCATGAGCTGGGGCTGGGGCTCCTCCAATCCTTCCCTGCGGGCGCGCGTGCACACACACACACACACACACCCCCACAACTCCAGGCTTCACCCTCCTCACCACACCCCGGCTCTGCCCAGTGGCCAAAGGCTCACATACTGTCTTCCCCCAAAGCTTTCATTATGCTGTGAATCAGAGGGCGGGAGGTAGATCTGGCAGATTCTAGTCCATGGAAACCCATAAGACCGGTGTGACTTCCTGGAGCAGGGACTGACAGTCATGAGCTGGGGAGAGGCAGATTCCTCCCATGTGAGGTCAGCTGCAAAGCACAAGGCATGGGTGCCTCTTTGTGAGGGTGCTGGCTTAGTTCTGCACGGGGGAAGGGGTGGGGGGCAGGGTGGAGAGCACTTGCCCTGCCCCAGAAGATGGCCAGCCCTGTGCTAACGGGAGACCATGTGAGGTCCCAGGTGAGGATCAGGGGCCACAGAGGGCATGAGCTGAGAGTATATTCCAGAAACCGGAGCCCTTCCATCTGTCGTTTCAGACTAAGCCCTAGGAGCACGACAAAATTAGCTCAGAAATAGATCTATTGGGGGCTTGGAGGGAGATGCCTGTGAGACACCATAGAGAAATCAGAACTTCTCAAAATTAGCCCCAGAAACAAGTATTTTCCTTGATTTTATTTTTTCTTTTATGATTAGGTTGTGAAGGAGAGAGATTAAATGATGTCCATAAAATAAGCTATTAAAGAGAAAGGCAAGTCACAATTCAATTTTGTTTATACACACACATGCATGACACTAAAATGCACTGTTCCTTCATTCTTTCCACTGATATTTATAAGCTATTGGTTATATTCAATGGTTAGGACAGGTTCTGGGGACATACTGGAAAACACAGCAGGCAAAACTCCTGCCTTTTACAGCTTATTTTTCAATGGGAGATTTGGAAAATAAACAAGTGGACAAAAGCAAATAAAGCAGCCCTCAGTTGTTATAAGTGAAATGCAGCAAATCAGGGGATACACTTTAGATGGTGTCCCGGGGAGTCCCTCTGCCAGGCCCCAGCATTAACTGTGAAACTGAAAGACGCAGAGTTAGGGATCCTGGGAGGCCCCAGAGGCGGGGAGCACTGGGCTTGTCTTAGTAACTGAGGACTCTCAGTAAGGGTCTTTGAACACTTGTTAGGGAGTTTACATTTTATTCCAAGAGGCTTAGGTCACCATTGTTGCTGGTGAGGGACAAGCCAGCTCTAACCCCCACCCTGAAAGTTTGCTTAAGCTACATTCAGAGAGTAGTTTAGAGAAAGTAGTGGATGATCTAGTTTTGATCTTTATGTCAGAGTGTTTGTGTGTGTGCACACACACGCATGCACACATGCTCAGTTACTTGGTCATGTCCGGCTCTTTGTGACCACATTGACTATAGCCCACCAGGCTCCTCTGTCTATGAAGTTATTAAAGGCAAGGCTACTGGAGCACGTTGCCATTTCCTACTCCACGGGATCTTCCTGACCCAAGAATCGAACCCATATCTCTTGTGTCTCCTTCATTGGCAGGCAGGTTCTTTACCACTAGCACCACCTGGAAAGGCCCCTTAACCTTGATCTTTATATCTTCATGAATTTCCCCAAAACATTGTATGAGATGTTTGTTTTTATCACCGTAAAAAGTAATCCTTATTATTTTATATATCATAGATTTAATGCCTGTTTTCTTGCCTAAGTGGTCCAGGCCTTGGAGTTTTTGTGAGCTTGGCATTCTTGGGAACTTCTGTAGCTAGTCTTCAGCATAGGGCCTGGATAGCCCCTGACACATGGCAGGAGACTCCTGCAAGCCTTCTGCTTAACCTCTAAAGTTGTCAGACTGAACCCTCCCCCATCCAAGGACAGAGTACTTCCATGCAGAATGAAGTTACAGGTATGTCTTGAGAGCAGATGGGTTGTGGGTTAGTGGCCAAGAGAATCCCACAGGAGCCCTGTTTCTTCATGAAAAGTGGCTCCTCCCACCTTTAACCTGTGTCCAGACTGGGCATCCCAGAAAGACATGTAACTTTCTATTCTGTGCCCTGGAATTGAATCCCTCAGCCTAATAAGGAAGATAAACCCATTTTACAGGTAAAGGAACTGAGATTCAGAAGAAAACTTTGGCTGAGGTAAAAAAAAAAAAAAAAGAGGAATAGGGACCAGTTTCCCAAGATGCCTCCCTCTCACCTCCCTGTGCCGAGGTGATGAGCCTCATGGGGGTGACTGAACCCCCAGAGCCCACTGGCCAGGCAGGAGCTGTGTATCTCTGTGAAAAGGGGCCCTCAGGGGTTTTCTGATTAAGGTGCCTATGATGAGTCAGGAAGGGGCTAGAGGAAGTTGACCAACTGGAGTGGTGAAACCAGTCCTTCTCCTTCAACTTGGAAAGGAGGCCAGGCTGGGGAACGGTATAAAGGGCAGCTCGGCCCCTGCTCAGCTCAGCACTCCACTAGAAGCCTCTCCAGCTGGCCCTACTGTGAGTCTGGTAAGTGTTTGCTGGTAGAACCAGGCTTGGGACCTGGGGCCTCCCACAGGCCAGAATGTGGCTGGGGGTGGTCAGCCTGAGGGGGTGCAGGGGTCACTCGTGTGCAGGATTCAATTGGACCACTATCCTTCTGGGGGTGCTCAGGTCACTGTGCTGAGGGCTAGGTGCATGGCCTGGAAACAGAACAGACAGCAATCCCCTCCTGCACTGTGTTTTCTTCGGACTGTATTTTCAAGTGTGGGGGACAGGGAGAAGAGGAGTTAAGATAGGGGTGCAGGGGAAATATGGTCAGATTCTCTCCTAAAACTGCTTGATTTGAGATCACTATTATTTTTGTCTTCTCTAAAGGGGAATGGGGTCCAGGGACACACTTGTAATTTTTAACTGTGCTACAGAAGGGAGAAATGCCAAACGGGGAACACTTTCTATTTGGAGAACTCAGGCAGAGCAGGGGCAGGGAAACACAGTTTAGAAGTAGGAGACTTGAAAGAACCAGCCCCAGCTCTCAGCAACCTTCCAGCCCCCTCCCACCACCACCACCAGCCAAAGTTCAGAAGGTCAAGAGAGAAAGAAGCTCTGGAGCTGAATATGCCAACCGGTTCATTTTGCAGAGGACAAATCTGAGCCCCAGAGGGACTAAATGACATGCCTAGAACCACACAGCATTTCACTGGGAGATTTAAGCCAAGATAATGTCATGTGACTCCAGTCCAGGGCATGCACCATCACCTCTCAGATCCTCTTGGGATGGGCTACTGATTTTCCAGGACTTGGGGGTCCTCCAGGAGAACTTTTTCTCCCCCCCTGGCACCATCCCTCTTCCTGTCATAATCCCAGAGCTCATCTCTCCTGTTTGTCAGAGGAAGTCAGGAACAAGCCAGAGACAAGGATAGGCAAGAGAAGGAGGTGAGATGCTACCCAGCACACCTGCGCAAAGCAGTTCTGGAGACAGTCCTTGTTATTGGCTCTTGGGAACAATAAGCTCCCAGGAGGGCTTTTCCCTGCCCCTCTCCATCCCTACCTTCACCCTGCTGCTTCTGTGGAATGATAGCCCAGCATGATCAGGAGAATGCCCCACCCAAGGGAACTAGGAATGCTGAGAAACCAGGGACTGCTACAGATTCTTGGGCTTCATCTATTTCCTTGCTTTCAGTAACTCCTCTGACCCCTCCTCTTTTTCAGGTTGACCAAAAGCAGCTTCCAAGATGTCCCAGCAGTACACTCTGCCAGTGATCCTGCCCCCTGCCCTCTCTCAGGAGCCCCTCAAGCCTGCTTCTCCTCCCACCAATACCCAGCAGGAGCAAGTGAAGCAGCCAACTCCACTGCCTGCCCCATGCCAGGAGGTACACTCGGAGCTCCCGGGGGAGGTCCCCTTGGAGCTCAGAGAGAAACACACAATTGTGAAGGGGGTGCCTGAGCAAAAGTGTGAACCAGAGCAAGCGGAGCCAGAGCAGCAAGAACAACATGTTGAACAGCAGCAGCAAGAGCCACAGGTGCAGGAAGTGCATGTGGAGTTGCAGCAGCAAGAGTCACAGGTGCAGGAACAATATGCGAAGCAGAGACAACAAGAATCACAAGTGCCAGAAGTTCATGTGCAGCAGCAACAGCAAGAGTCACAGGTACAGGAAGTGCATGTGGAGCAGCAGCAGCNTCTCCTCCCACCAATACCCAGCAGGAGCAAGTGAAGCAGCCAACTCCACTGCCTGCCCCATGCCAGGAGGTACACTCGGAGCTCCCGGGGGAGGTTCCCTTGGAGCTCAGGGAGAAACACACAATTGTGAAGGGGGTGCCTGAGCAAAAGTGTGAACCAGAGCAAGTGGAGCCAGAGCAGCAAGAACAACATGTGGAACAGCAGCAGCAAGAGCCACAAGTGCAGGAAGTGCATGTGGAGTTGCAGCAGCAAGAGTCTCAGGTGCAGGAACAACATGCGAAGCAGAGACAACAAGAATCACAAGTGCCAGAAGTGCATGTGGAGCAGCAGCAGCAAGAGTCACAGGTGCAGGAAGTGCATGTGGAGCAGCAGCAGCAAGAGTCACAGGTGCTAGAAGAGCATGTGGAGCAGCAGCAAGAGTCACGGGTGCCAGAAAAGCATGTGAAGCTGCAGCAACAAGAGTTGCAAGTGCAGGAAGTGCATGTGGAGCAACAAGAGTCACAGGTTCCAAAAGTGCATGTGGAGCAGCAGCAGCAAGAGTCACAGGTGCTGGAAGTGCATGTGGAGCAGCAACAAAAAGAGTCACAGGTGACGGAAGTGCACGTGGAGCAGCAGCAGCAAGAGTCACAGGTGCCGGAAGTGCATGTCAAAAAACAACAGCACGAGCTACAGGAGCAGGAAGTGCAGCAGCAAAAAGAACAGCATGAGGAATATCAGGAAGCAGAACACCTGGGGCCGCAGCTGGAGCGGGAGAAAACACAAAGAGAGCAGCACCTAAAAGGACAGCTGGAACAGGAGAAGGTCCTGGACCAGCAATTGGATCAAGAACCAGCAAAGAGAGAGGAACAACTGGAAAAGAAAGAAGAGCAACTGCCGGAGCAGCAGGAGGGGCAGCTGAAACAGCCTGTGTTTGTCCCAGCTCCCGGCCAGGTCCAAGAGACCCAAACAGTCCTGCCACTGAAGGGAAAAGCCTTGCCCTCTGAGGAAGCAGGAGGTGTAGTGCCTTCTAAACATAAGTAACCACCTGCAGTGTCCAAGAGGCCCCGGAAATCCCATACAAGTGAAAAGAGAGCCAGTGGCCTCGCTTATCTCGGGCCCCCAACCTGGGTGACCCGCCTCATCTGTGAACCTGCCTGACCCTGACCTTTTGCATGTCTCTTTGATAGGGCTGGGGTGGGGGGAGTTATAGCCCAGCATCCACCTCTGACGAGCCCAATCCCAACCTCAGGTGGCCAGAGGCTTTACCTGAGGAGAGAGTGACTGTAGCTACTCTGACTACATCCCCACTATTATAGCTGAATCTGTGAGTGTGTACAATAATACAGAATAAATCCTGGAAGGCTTGGAATCCTGTATTTTCTTTGACTTTTTACTCTCTATCACTCACCATATAAAAACCCGTGTGCAGGTTAAAGGTTGAGAATGACTCTCTTGGCCAGTTCCCATAGGTGGACAGATACTCTGACCCCTCTTTGATTCTGTACCCAAACCACTCAATGCATTCAACAGCTTCTAAAAGTGAAATGAAAACAACAGCAAAACAAAAGTTCACTTGTGTACCTGAAAGTAGCACTCAACAGTCAGGAAGAAGGAATGGGTTACCTTGGCTGAGGGAAGAGGATCTATTCACCTCAGTTCAGCCCTGCTTTCCATTATACCCAATGAACCCAATCCTAGTCCCAGGCTAAAGGCATGGGTAGGGAGTGGGGGCTCCACCTGGGTTCTGGTGCTTGCCCAGATTTTCTCTCCCAGAATTTTCTCTCCACAGATTTTCTCTCCATGGTTTCCAAGAGTCTTGGAACTGCTGACATGGTTAAGGAAGACTTTAGGAAAGTAAGGTAGCAGAATTGGGGAAGATGGGGAGAAGAGGGACTTCTGGGACTGGTCTCTGATGGAGAAAATGTCACCAAGGGAAGCAAAGTTTGGGCCAACTGGAATCAGAGGAGCCAATAGCTTGCAGAAACACAGATTTAAGGTCATTGCAGTGGTTTTCCCTCCCTGACATTTCTGTAGCCTTTACTACCTACCATCAACCACATCAGGACATGGGGCTCTTTCCTTCCTGGGAATCACCTTGTGTGTGCACTCAGTCATGCCCGACTCTTTGTGACCCTATGGACTGTAGCCCACCAAGTTCCTCTGTCCATGGAATTTTCCAGACAAGAATACTGGAGTGAGTTGCTATTTCCTCCTCCAGGGGGTCTTTCTGACCCAGGGATCAAACCCACATCTTCTGCATCCCCTGCATTATAGGCAGATTCATAACTGCTGAACCACCAGGGTTCTGATAATTTAACATCATCTCAGGCAGGTTTTCTCAAGTTACCCAAAGCTGTTTCATCACAATCATGAGCATATGTCAGGGACATCTCTTTTGAGAATGCCATATGCACCAAAGTCAATGGGTCTGAAAGGCACTCAGTGTCCCTTACTCCCTGCCCAACTCCAGTGACACTGTCATTCCTCATTAGGAATTCTCTCTCTTGGGTAATGATACCATCTGTGCATTCACCAAAGCCAGAGAAACCACATCATTCCCTATGCTCATTTCCTCTTCTTCCCTACCCCCACACCAGAGATCAATCCTTGCTACTCCTTCCCACACCCTCCAAGCTTTGACCGAGGTCAATTCTCACCTGAATGATTGCAATGGCCCTCAAGCTCTTCTTTGATCCCTGTGTCCACATACCCAGGAATTCATCCATCACATGGTGAACAGGGTGTTTCATTCAAAATCTTGATCTCAATACTTGGGTGAGAGCCACTCCTTGGGTGGCTCTCATTATTTAGAGGATGAAATTGCAGGTTCAAGTCCTCCTAAGAGGACAAGAGTTAAAAGGAAGCTTGGGTAGAACTGGGTGGGAAGATTGGGGGCACACGGAGAAGTAATTAGAAACACCCAGAATGTGTGCAATTTTTTTTGAAGTCCTAGGTTTTGATTTTTAATAGACCTTTTTGGTGGTTCTTTTCTTCTTTTTAAAATTTATTTATTTAACTAGAGTAGATATACAATACTGTGTTACTTTCAGGTGTACAACTTCAGACTCTTTCCTATTGTAGGTTATTACAAGATATTGAATAGAGCTCCATGTACTATACAACAGAACTTTATTGTTTATAGATTTTATATATAGCAGAATGTATAAAATACCTTTTTTTCAGAATAGCTTTTGATTTATGAAAAGGTCAAGAAGATAGTACAGAGAGTTACTTTATACTTTACACCCAGTTTCCCTTGTTATTAACACCTTATATTAGTATGGCACATTTATTACTATAATTAGCAAAACAGTAGTGGTACATTATTATTAGCTGAAGTTCATGGTTTATTCCAATTATTTTAGCCTTCACCTGATGTCTTTTCCTGTTTCAGGATCCCATCTAGAATACCACACTACTGTCTTGTTGCCTTAGGCTCCTCTTAACTGTGATGGTTCCTCAGACTTTCTTTGGTTTTTGATGACCTTGATAGTTTTGAGGCATCCTGGTCTGGTATTTTATAGAATATCCCTCAGTTTGGGTTTGTCTGATGTTTTCTTCATGGTTTGACTGGAGTTATTGCTTTTTAGGAGGAATACCATAGAGGTAAACTGCCTTTTTCATTACATTATATAAAGAGTACATACTACTCACGTGATTTATTACCTTGATCACCTGGCTGAGGTAGTATATATCAGGCTTCTCCACTGTAAAATTACTGTCTTCGCCCTCCCTCCCAACACCCCATCTGACTATACTGTATTCTTCGGAAGGAAGTCATTCTGCAAAGCCCACAATTAAGAAAGGATTGAGGAGTTAAGCTCCCTGTCACTGAAGATGAAGTATCCTCATAAATTATTTTGAATTATCCATATAGGAGACATATTTATTTCCTCTCCTTATGTATATATGGATGTGTATATGTTTGATGTGTATATGGGTAGATGTGTTTGATCATTTATTTATGTCAGCATGTACTCATTAATATTTTGTTTTATACTTTGGGTTATACTCCAGTAGTACTTTATTTTTTATTGTGGTAAATTACTCATGACATCAAATTTCATGTATTAATCATGTGCAGTTCAGAGGTTTTAAGTACATTCATGTTGTTGTGCAAGCGTCACCACCATCCCTCTTGCAAGACTGAAACTCTGTACCTATTAAACAATAATTCCCCATGACCTTCTCCCTGCAGCCCTCAGCAACCACCATTCTCCTTTCTTTCATTTTTAAAAATCTCCCTTTTCCCCCTACACCCCTGCTTCTTATAACCACTACTCTGCTCTATGCTACTATAAATTCAGCTTCTTTGGGGTCACAAATTTCATCTCCCTGTCTGAGATTAAATTTGCTATTGTTGTTTAGTCTCTAAGCCATGTCCAACTCTTTTGTGACCCCATGGTCTGTAGCCCTCCAGGCTACTCCATGGAATTTTCTAGGTTGCCATTTCCTTCTCCAGGGGGTCTTCCCAACACAGGGATTAAACCCACATCTGCATTGGCAGGTGGCTTCTTTACCACTGAGCCACCAGGGAAGTCCAAATTATATACACACTCACACACACACACACACACACACACACACGCACACATTATAATATAACATCATATATCACATTTTCTTTACCCATTCATCCATTGCCATTTAAGTTGTTTCCATATCTTGGTTATCATTAATAATGCTGAAATGAACATGGGATATCTCTTCAAGATACTGATTTCATTTCCTTTGTGTATATATCCAGAAGTGGTATTGCTGAATCATATGGAAGCTTTAGTTTTAAATTTTGGAGGAAACTTCATACTGTTTTCCATAATAACTATAGCAACTGCATCCCTACCAACAGTGTACAAGGATTATCTTTTCTGCACATTCTTGCCAACACTTGTTAGCTTTTGACATTTTTATAATAGCAGTTCTAACAGGTGTGAGAGGATATCCCACTGTGGTTTGATTTGCATTTCCCTGTTGATAAGTGATGTTGGGAACCTTTTCATATACCTGCTGGAAACAGTATGATATTGACATAAATAGAGACACATGGATCAAAGAAACAGATTGGAGAAACTAGAAATAAATCCATGCTTATGTGGTCAATTAATTTTTTTTTTGGTCAATAAATTTTTGACAAAGACACCAAGAATACAAGATGAGGAAGGATAGTCTCTTCAATAAATGGTGTTGAGAAAACTGGATATTCAGTGCAAAAAAATAAAATCAGACTCTCAGAATGATACACAAAAGTCAACCCAAATGGATTAAAGACTTAAAAGCAAGACCTAAAACCAACTTATCTAGAGAATAAGTTCCTTGGCAGTGGTCTTGGCTATAATAGTATGGTCTGTCACCAAAAGGAGTTTGTTCACATCCAAAATATATAAGGAACTCATACAAATTAAAAAAAAAAGAAAACAAACAAACGAAAAATCCGATTTTAAAATGGGCAAAAGATCCAGATAGTACTTTCTTTATTTTGGGCAAAGGACCTGAATAGTATTTTATTTTGTTGCTTAAATTGTTCCAGCTTTGGCCATTAGGAGATCTTTCAATAGATTCCTGTGTCCGTGGTTAAACATCAAAATGGAGTTTTTAGTTTTTGTTTTTCCTTCGTTCCTTTGATTTTTTGAGCATCCCATCCTTTCTGGCACTACGAGGTACTCCAGGCTTATCATGTATATTTGTGCCCCAATCCTAGAGTTAACAAATTCTTCGAGGAGTCCTGGTTGATTTTACTGGAGAATGCCATTAAAAACCAAGATCTGTTATGCTCACTTTTACTAGTTTATTGTTTCTTTTGGGTCCACTCAATTCACATAGGAAATATATGTATGTGTACAAACATGTATGTGTATGTGTGCATGAGTGTGCATTTCTATATATAACCACCTGTATTTATATTAAGCTAAACATAGTTCATACCACCATCTCCAACTATAATCCTTAACCACATGAATCATTCTAGCCTCTTTCTCATATGTAAATTCCAACTCCAACAGTGAAAAATGTCACACCTACCATCCACCATCCATCTTCTTAATTGTTCATTTCTAGTGTACATTCAGAGAAGAATCAGAAGTGACACTAGTGGTAAAGAATCCACCTGCCAACAAAGGAGATGCATATTCAATCCCTGGGTCAGGAAGATCCCCTGGAGTAGGAATTGGCAACCCACTCCAGTATACTTGCCTGGAAAATTCCTGAACAGAGAAATGTGGTAGGCTAGAGTCCGTGGGGTCACAAAGAGTCGGACATGACTGAGCACAGCATGAAAGTTAAAGTGTTAGTCTCCCAGTCATGTCAAACTCTTTGTGACCCCATGGACAGTAGCCTGCCAGGCTCTTCTGTCCATGGGACTTCCCC